GCAGGTAGCTCGTCGATGAGCTCGAAGATAGCAACAAGTCTGTGCATCCCGTCGACCACGTCGTACCATTGCGTCCTTGTGTGACTTTTCTCCCTTGCCTCCGTCTCCGTCAAACACTTCCCCTTGAAATGGTCGATCACATATCGCCGGTAGGTACCCGTCAACGGCATGAGCACTGGCATATCCGATCCCGCAGTGATACCTGGTTCGTGAGGTGCCTCACCCGCTTCGTGATTACCTTCGGCAACGGCATGGCCTCGGAACAGTACCTTCATTCGTTCTACACCTGAACGAACTATGGCTCTAACATTTGTGAGCGGTATGCAGTCCCTAGGATCAACTGTCGTGTTAGTTGAGCCCTCCATCACGTCCGCAAACAATGCTTTTGCCACCTCCATCCTGTCGCGCACCTGTGGGGATGGATCATTCCGAGACGCTTGAGCTGACTTCCCTTTCCGCGTCATACCTGATAGTGGGTTCACTTTCGTACAGAACGGGGGTCTGCAGTACAACAGAAATTTTAAATTGGGAAGGAGGGTGGCGAACAGTTTGCCGACAGAAATTAATCTAACTCGAACCAGTAACAATTAACAGGATGGCTTGTTGCTACCGGTGTTCTGGTGCTTGTGAGCACATGGTCAATTCAATGAGATAGAGAAGTCGAGACATACAGTAGCTCCGAATGTGCCATGAACAATTCCGAAAGAAGTACGAAATCCTGCACCTGCTTGTGGAAACTGCAGTAGCCGACCGTGCCGGACCGAATACTTCATTTCTGCCCTGGTGTTATAGCGAACCAAACGAGAATTGCATACTGATACCACACGTTAATATATGCAGGACTAACAATTGAATCAGAGTGATGTCCATGATCTCCGCCTGTTCGATAATTGAACTCCGTCTCCACGCCATCAGTATGTGCAGTACGCAGCAGGAATCTTCTGGACATGTCTGCACGTAGCGTACGTGTCCCCATACCCGCACTTTATCTACTCATTCATAGCCTGAATCTCCCGGATTTACTTTGCGGTTGAGGCTGCAACGGAAAGAACTGTCCGATCATGATTGTGTGCTGTCCGTCAATGGCGATCATGAATTTGTGCCGTGTGGGACAGCAGAAAACGTGTCATGATTTTGAGATCCTAAAACTAAATATCAGTAATGCATAACTGTTCTCTTGAAATGTGGAATGAAAAATCTATATTTGGACATGGTGAACATTGCGTATCAAATTTAGTGCAACATATGATTTGGGTGCAATCTCCCAAATATTTGATTCAGATATGTTTCAAACAGCGCTCTTTCAGATCTGTAAAGCTTCCATTACAGGCTTCTTCATGGTAGCGCAGAGACAGCAGCCAACCATTCATAGCTCGGCGTACCTGCTCAGTGAATATCAGTATTCACGGATAGCTAAACTGGTCATCCAGCAGGCATTATCTGTTCCACAGAACAGTATCGCTGCTGCTCGTGTGGAGCTGCACCCACCATCACCTGAATTCTCGTGCTGCAGTGCTTGTAGTTGATACACGCTCCAGTATATAAAAGGTAAAGAGGGTACCATCCTGGTCTCCGCGATAAAGTTCCTCAACCCATCTCAATCCACAACAACCCATCTGAACTGTTGGGGGCAACAACCCATCTCAGAACCATTCCAATGACTACGACTAGGCGTACGACTCGTGCAAAGCGCTCTATTGCACAAGCGAGTAGCTCGAGGCATGGTGAACCGTTACATACCCCTGAGTCCCGCACTGTGGCTCCCCCACGCACATCACCGCGTAGTACTGCTTGGGACTCGCAAAGCACCCCACTACGAAGCGGGAAGCGTCGCGTGCAGCTCGCGACGCCAACCACTCTACATACCCCTGAGTCCCGCCCTGTGAATCCCCAACAAACGCCAAGGAGCAGTTGTAAACGAGGTTGTCCGCCAACAGATGCCTCACCCACTGCTCAGAACTCGCAAAGCTCAGGATTGCGAGACGGGAAGCGTCGCGCCCTTTCTGCGACGCCAGCAACTTCACACACACCACTCTCAACGCCGCCAGACACAACGCAACTCTTTAATGTTCCCACCCGACACACTTCACCATGTCTCCCGGATTCTACCATGCGAAATCAACCCGGCCCGACCACAGCGATACGACGATCGCCCCAAAGGCGGTCATCAAATGTTTCGCTGGATTCCGGTACAGTGCAGCGTAAATTGTGGAGCATCCGCTCATTGGTAATTGCAGCCCGAGGGATAGCTGCGGAACCCGAAGTAGCTCCAGCTACCCCAAATGCAGCAGAATCTCCACCACCCGAACTGCAAGAAGAAGATGCTCTAGCTACGCCAAATGCCGCAGAATATCGAACACTGGAACATGAAGATGAGTTGTCTAAATCTAGTAGTGACGCTGAGTACCGTCCCCCTCCGCCCTCTAACACTCGAACGAAAAATGGACCCCCATCGCAACGAAGTCCGGCCAGTCGCAGTGTTGCGAACAGCGAGACATCACCTTTTAAAAGAGAGTATACACGTACAAGAGTCGCCGTCGCGGCAAGGGTGTGGAGAGTGTGTTACTTAAACGACGCCGTGCCCACGCTGATGCGTTCCAAAACATGGAGGTGGATAAGTTAAAATGTTGTATCCATCGCCGTTGTTTTTACGAAGTTGACGCTCGATACGTCAAGGCTCAAGTGGTATCTTTGCTGAATAGGGCGGGGAGACGAGCTTATCTGGAGGGCTTGTTGGAAGATAACTCAGGGATGTTTTTCTTCGATGGAAAGGCGGTGTGTTATAAGTTTCTAGAGAAGTCCCTGCAGTTTTCTAGGGATTTCCAGGGCTCTGTTAAAGGCACACCGTTTAGCAAGAGGAGGTCTTCCTTGACTTGTACTGTGAGAGACTCAGAAGCTAATCAACGGGACGCGGTCATATGATTCCTTGAACGTCTTTCAGAAAGCACAGCCGACCATATGACCGACCGAAACGAACAGCACTTGCCCTATTTCCAAAAAGCTCAGGTCTTCGACATCTTCCTCTCTGAGTTCAGTGGCCTCCATTCGCGCGCCCCACCCACGCGAAGCTATTTTTACGAGACATGGCAAAAGCACGTGCCCAACATCAAGGTGCGGAGGGTTCATAGGTTCACAGTGTGCTCCGAATGCGATCTCATCCGAGACCTGCTCTCCAAAGCCGGTACCGATGAGTCAGCAACTCGGCTACTTCGTGAGCGAAAAACCACTTACAACGATATGGTTGCAGCGGAGCGGCGCGAGTACCAGAAGAAGTGTGATAAAGCAGGACTGTATCCTGCTAAGTATTGCTCTATCATTCTGGACGGTGCCGACCAGTCCGCCTTCGGTTTGCCGCATTTCCTCTTCAATACTAAGCACACAAAGGGGCACAGTATCAAAGTTAAGCTAATTGGAGTGCTTGAACATGGTCCCGTGAAAAATCTGTCCCTGTTCACTATGACAGATGAATATGAGACAGGTGCGAATCACGTACTAGAAGCTCTTCATCGGACGCTGATGGTAAAGGCTGAGAAGGGCCCACTCCCGGATACCCTGTTCGTGCAGGTGGACAATTGCACTCGTGAAAATAAGAACAGATACTTCTTCGGATACATCGAATCCCTGGTTGCATGGGGGGTGTTTCAAGAAGTCTTTGTGTCGTTTCTACCAATTGGTCATACCCATTCTGACATAGACCAAGCGTTCAGCTGCACTGCTCGCCGGCTCAGGCATCATGAGGCTATAACTCTGGAAGACCTGATCACTGAACTCGGGAAGGCATATAACCCTCCCCCTCACGTTGCTGATCTTCGCCAGATTATAAACTTCTCTGGGCTGTGTGACCAAGAAAGGTGTTTGGAAAAGCCTCAACGGTTTTCCCATTTTCGATATTTCAAGTTTCACCGTGTGGAGGGGATCCCAGAGTATCGTGGCAATTCTTTTAACACTGCATGTTCTGCGAGGGTTGGGTGTAACGACGATTGGGGCTCTCTCAAGGTTGGGCAGTGCACCAGAGGCTTCCTGAAATTTGCACCTGACCTTGCCAAAACACCACCGACCGAAGCCACATGTCCTAACGATCTTGATAAAATCAACACCCGTCTTGTGTCTGAGGAGACACGAGTGAATGACAGGAGAAAGTTAGCCCAGCTACGGCTTCTACGCGACCGCGTGTATGAATCAAGACTGGAGAGATTCCACTGGAATCTGCGCGACGTATTTGAGATGAAGGGAAAGTATAGAACAGTTACTGATGCGGTTGATGGCTTGCAAGACGAAATTGAACATGATGAAGTTGAAATCGAGATGGAAGAACAACCCCTGCAAGACCTCGAATACGAATGTAATGACTTCGTAGCGGTACGCGGTTCTTCTTGCTCTATAGAAACCGTCCCGTTCTCGGTCGGGCGTGTCATATCAATTCACAAGGACGATGAAGGCGTAACTACGGATCTCACCATCCATTGGTGGGAAGTGTACAATGGTAAATGTGCCTGGACAGGTAAGTATGCACCCTCTAGGTTACATGACATCAGGAAACCGTGGACAGAGTTTATCAGTGTCGCAACTGTTTTGTCCAGGTTTTCGGAGTTGAAGAAATCGAAAGAGATCAGCGCAGCAGCGGCGAGGCAAATTAGGCAGGCTCTTGGAGTTGCGTGATATGCTGGGTGGCCTCCGCTACTCGGTGGTCAGCTTGACGCAGTCAGATACGGTAGTGAGGGTGCAATGCCCTGGTAAACTTTGGTAAACGTGGGTGCAGCAGTACCAAAGGCCGGTTGCGACGCACCCTGGGTTTGACCAAAGATATTCATATCAGCTGAGCCTACAGCAGTAACTGGCAAAAGAGCATCTGACTGCCTCCAGTCTCTCTACTGAAATATATATGCCACAAATGCGCATTACCATAGATATTTCTCCAGCGCACACCCCACCATACTGCAACGTTAGTTGTTTGAGGCCCGACATGTAGTTCGTTGATGTGAGCAAGTAGCGAAGGTTCCTTCGAGGCAGACATAACTTTTATTTCTCTTCAACGTTTCCTAGATCTACGAAATGCACATATTAAGCCGGAACAAATTACCAATATGTATTATCACGAAGCCACACTCCCTTGATGATATTGACCACCTTATCAATTGACTTGGCAGTGGCTGGATGTGCAATCAACGGTACGGCCGATGGGTTCGACCTCACCAGTGAGGGAGGGTTATCCACCTTCAGCTCCTGATTTTCTGTCAGACGAATAACGGCTGGGAGTTTATCTCCCAATTTGACTTGGGCTTGGAGTTCGCAACGCGGGGGGGGGGGGTGGACGTGACGATACGGGTCATCGTAGTGGGTCGGGGAGGCTTGAAGTGGGCCACAATCGCCAACTTCGAGCAAGTCCAGACGGAATTTAGGATTAAATTCTGTCGGCAGATTGTGAACAGGTATCAAATTTTTATTTAACATAAATTGTACTGCAATTTCCAAGTAAAATTGTGTGATAATTTTTTTGATTTGGCCTATACAGAACCCCCCATCCCCCAGATTTAGAGAGTACATGTTGGACGATAACTTCTAAACTATTTTGGTTTGTCCACTTCTGTTTTCGGCATATCACTACTACTGCTCTAAGCTTTACAGCCATATAAAAATATCTGGAACCCGAAGGGGTGCCCCTGGTACTGTTTGGTATCCCAAATTCTGGTTACCACCAAACCAGTGTTCAGAGTACACACCCGTCTCCGTTGGGGGGTGTTATACTACATTAAGATCCTACGGCGGTGCCCCGTTGTAGACTCCGACTCTGCAGGCCAGAACCCATCATTAACGACTTGCATGTGCAACGATGGTACACCCTCATCGAAACCACCAACCATCATAACTCAAGATGAATTCCGCACGAATTCATCGTCAAAATTTGGCGTCCCCAGCCCGGAAACTTTAAGAAAACAAACATCCGCTTTCCCAAAGCCGTCAGGCTATGTCTTGCATTATCCAACATCGGCAAGAAACTCCTAAAAATTTCGGGATCGTTTTGTCCCGAACGCTCCGACCTATCTTTGTAGACAGTGAACCCAGTGCGTGTCGGCGCATACTGGTCCTTACGTACAGATGCAGCTCTAACGCAAAGAGGTGGAAGACTCGGTTCGGCGTCATCGATCCATCCATCGAAAGAGTACTCAATATGCTTGGAAGGGCCATTAAAGCCATCAGCGATTATTGCCCAGAAACTGTCCCAAGATCTGCCTGCGTCACGATGCGCTCTTGTCACCTCTTGCTGTAACAAATTGATAGATCGGCGACAATGATCATTATGGCGGTGCATCATGATAAGCATAGAAAATTTTAAGAGTGTAAAAGCAGGTTTACTTCCCGCCGAACCTGTGCCTAATTCAGCCATATTGCCCTCTCTTAGATGGCCAGAAGCATCCAACACAGTGTCAACGTCTGCATCTGAGGCAGGGTACACACGCGCGCGCTTGGGACGGACGGGATTGTCAACTTTTGATCATAAACTCATCAAAAGAGGGGCAAAATGGATTGGGTGAGATCGTGTCTTTAAACGGAGTACATTCAATATTAATAAATACCACATAACGATAGTTTCTCAACATGATCTTGTTGAGTTTTCCGTATGCTTTGCTGTTCCAATGCCTCGCCATTTTTTGATGCTCTTTCTTCTTCACGGATTTAAAGTATGAGAATATGAGACGTCTGTTCATGACCTCGGATGTTTCTGGAGCAGCTCGACTCTTTCTCTGAGAATATGGTTCGAGTGCGCAGTCATTGCGAGCAGTAATATTGTCCTGACCTGTCGCGCCAATACTTGGTCGAAATGATGGGGGGTTCACCAAGAGCTTACACGTTGATTTCTGAGAAATGGATGCCATGATATTGGTTTTGAAGCTCGGAGAACTATAAGAATTGCTTCTTGGTCCCTGCGAGGAATTGAAACCGGGTGGGAAGGGAGATGGAGGACAACGGGAATAAAAAATGGAGCTTGCCTCTGGGTTCTGGGGAGGGGGTATGGAAGGATATTCATTGTGTTCCTGCCCAAAGCTGGCATCGAATACACGTGTAGTGTGGCAAGCGATCTGTTCGGCAGCTCGGTGTGTTGCACGTCGTGTTTGCGTAAAATGTCGAGGAGATCATCGGAGTTCAAACGGGGAGCGGGGAGCTTTGGAAGCAGTATTACGAGCTGTTGTCATGGCGCTTGGCTTGTGTGGTTTCTTTGGACAGAGAGGGAGAACTTCTAGCATATAAAATGGCGGGAGAAGGTACTGTGTCTGGTTTGTAATGTTGAGGGAACCAATGTATTGATCTGCATGTGCTCTTATTTGGATTTTAAGTCTACCCTTTTATTGTAATGAAAGTGCCACCGCACCGCATCGAGTCCATGGAATTGTAGTAGGGTGCATATGGACTGGGTGTGGATTGGTATTTCCTTTAGCCAATAGATTTCGACCAGTTCGCAGAATTACCAAGCATTACAGTGGTTCTGTGTAGCATTCGTTGTGGCGTGCGATTAATTTAATGCAATGACCCGGCCAATAGCGTGACCGCAACTGGATAAAGGAAAAAAAAAGAAAAGCGCCTGTTAAGACTGGCCCTGAACCGGCCCGCCTCCCCCTGTTCTCGTCCGGCCGTTTTGCCAACGCTTCTGAATCCGGTTACATTCCGCCACCAGGCGCGTGCGGGCAATCATTGCTCGGCCGTCCCTGTGTTGGGTCTCTCGGCGACCTGCGCCGTCTCTGCCGGGTTGGCGGCAATGAAGGGCTTGAGGGTGTGTCCTAACAGGCTGGTTCTTGCTTGCCTTGCCCGGTTTTGCCAGGAATACTTATAAATTCTTAACAAATACCGTATGCTTCGTAAGCCCTTGCATTTCTTAAACTCAAAAATTAAAACGTAAGAGCCAATCATAGCACGCCAAATCACCTCTCTGGGCAAAGCAAAGCAAACTGCAGAAAAACGGGGCATGTTAAGACACCCTGAGACAGTCGCCCGTCACTTTGCATGTGGGCGAGCTTTCTATCTTGTCCATCAAAGTTCGCAGACCGGTTCTCGCCGCGACGGTGTCCAACAAGTCCACCTGCCCACTCGGCGCATGACTCGACTTGGGGGGGACCTTCAGGCGGGGTACGTGCCCACCGCGAGGGTACTGTAAACTTTACTCGTATCGTCCTACGGCTTTCGTTGCAGTACTGTACTGTAATACCGATGAACTGGACAAGCCTCTGGAGTACAGCACCGTATCATACGCCTCCCTGGAGTCCCTTGCAGCCCTCGTTGCTGGCGTAAAATTCTTGTCAGTGCGTCGCGAGAGCAGCCTTACTAAACTCACGATGTGCCAACACCGCAGCAACAATCCGCACAACCACCGCCCTGTTTTTTCAGCGTAGGAAATCACTCAAAATCACTTTCAAGCGGGCACCTACCGTAAAATAGCTGTGGGCCATTGGATGCCCTGCATTTATTCGAATGCGAAGGGTGGAGGCAAACCTTTCCCGCCCTCTCTGCGAGAAGACCAAGAACGAAAAACGACTACCCTTGGGTAACGACTGACAACGACAAGAGAGAAAAAAGAGATTCCGAGAGAGAGAGATATAGAAAAGAATAAGCACCGCTTTGCCACCGCCGCCTATTCAAATCCGAACAACACCCCCTATTCGCAAACACCATGGCTGATCCATACAGTATCTTGGGCCTCACCGGCCCGGCTGAGCAAGTCGTCCGCCTCATCGCAAGTCTCATCGAACGACACAAAGCCTACAAGGAAAACAAAACGCTCTCTACGGAAGTGCTCACTGCCTACACTACCTTGCAGGCAGACATCACAGAGCTTGAAAATATGCCGATCCATGGAACGTCGTCGCAGCACACGCGCTTGCTCCAACGTGAAATCGACGGCATCTCTAGCTTCATATTGAAGTCCCTCGCTGAGCTGCAGAAAGAGTTGGACGACCCAAAAGCGAAACTTGGTGCGTTCGCCTCTGCGATGGAAGATAGAGAAGTCCTAAAGACGCGCAAGCAGGAAGCGGACCGCCTTCACCAACGTATTCTACAAGCGAGCATGGCCGTCGAGTCGGCCAGGCGAGGCACGGGTAATATCACCATGGCCGATCCATACAGTATCTTGGGCCTCACCGGCCCGGCTGAGCAAGCCGTCCGCCTCATGGCAAGTCTCATCGAACGACACAAAGCCTACAAGGAAAACAAAACGCTCTCTACGGAAGTGCTCACCGCCTACACCACCTTGCAGGCAGACATCACGGAGCTTGAAAACATGCCGATTCATGGAACGTCGTCGCAGCACACGGGCTTGCTCCGACGTGAAATCGACGGCATCTCTAGCTTCATATTGAAGTCCCTCGCTGAGCTGCAGAAAGAATTGGATGACCCAAAAGCGAGACTCGGTGCGTTCGCCTATGCAATGGGAGATAGAGAAGTCCTAGAGACGCGCAAGCAAGAAGCGTGCCGCCTTCACGATCGCCTTCTCAATGCAAGCACGGGCATCGATACTCGCGCGGCGGTCAAGCAAGAAGCGGACCGCCTTCACAATTGTATTCAACAAGTAAGCGCGGCCGTCGAGTCGACCAGGGGAGGTACGGGTGATACCTTCAGGGCGTCGATAAGAGCCGAACATAATCCTGCGTCGATATGTGTGAAGCTTGATTCTCGGGGGAGCGATGGATTACCAAACACGTGTGAGTCGCGTCTAAAAGCGGCTGTGCTACGGAGAGATAGGAACAAGCAAGTGGGTGCGACAGCAGTGGGACAGGGCGGAGTCGGGAAGACATGTGCCCTTCGAGCGATCGCACACGACGATGAGATTAAGGCGGAATTTTCGGGAGGAGTGTACTTCATGTCGTTGGGGAAAGACGGAAACGTGGGACGGCTGATTGATGAACTGTGTCTGATTGTGGAAGCGTCCGGTGGGAACCGGACGGCTGTGGAAATGCGAGGGCAGAGCGAGTTTAAAGCGGTGTTAGCGAAGGTACAAACATGGTTTTGTAGTCATGTGTGTCTGTTTATCATTGATGATGTGTGGGTGGTGAATGATATAGACGCGAATATCCTTCAAAAGTTGTCTGTTCTGGCTGAGACTGCGGGGAGCAGCGGGGGAAAGACGAGCAGACTACTGTACTCCACGAGGGATAAGGAGCTGTGTCAGATTGGAGAGCGGGTTGCTTTCGAGCCGAGGGAGAAAGTAGGGAAAGAAGCAGTTGAGATGCTTGTGCACGCGAGTGGGGCGAATCGAGAGGAAGTGGATGATGCGAGATGCAAGGAAGCCGTGAGTGAAATACTGAAAATGTGTGGCGGATTGCCGCTTGCGCTGAACGTGGCGGGAACGAGCGTGAGGTACATGAGGGAAAGATGGAAGGGAGAAAAATCAGAAGCATGGGGAGCGTACCTTTCGAGGATGAAGAGTCGTAACACGATTCGTGAGGAGAGTCCGCAGGACGGATATTCGTCGTTGAATGGGACATTGCATACGTCACTGGATATCCTGGAGTCGTATGTGGGAAGGAGTGGGGAGACGGTTGATGAGTTTTCGTTTCGAAAGATGCACCGGAGTCTGTGCGTTATGAAGAAGCAAGACCGGATACCTTTGAGTTTGGTTGGAGATTTGTGGGAGATGGACGAGGAGCGGACGGAAAGGTGTGCAAAGGAGATGGAAAGGGTTGGACTAGTAGAAGTGCAGTATGACAAGGATTGTGGTGGGTTGCGGGTGCATGATCTGACGCACGATTTCGCGGTGGAAGAAGCGAAGAAGAAGGAGGGTGTAGAAGAGTGGTATAAGAAGATGGCGGATGTGTGCAGGGCAGGAGAAGGGTTGCTTGCGATGAGTGAGGACCGAGACGGAGAGGGGAAGAGCGCACGGGAGGAGTATGTTTTCGAGAATATATATCGTGTTTTGAAGCAGGGTGGGTGTGTAGAGGAGCTGAAGAGGCTATTTTTGAGTGCGCGATGGGTGAAGACAGTGATACGGAGAGGCGGGGTTTGGCAATACGAGGAAGCTGTGAAGGGATTGAGTAGAAACTTGAAGGGGAAAAGAGGAAGCGGGAAGGTGGGAATGGGACGGGGAGATGAGGATGCAGTGGATGGAATGGTTTTGATGATGCGGGCGGCGCGACTGAGTGTACCGTTTTGTGGTGAAAACAGTACCGGGATTTACTTTCAACTATATGGGCGAGTGAAGCACAAGGCACGGGATTCAAGTTGTGTGCGAAACATGCTGGAGGAAATTGAGAGATACGCACCACGGCCGTGGTTACAGCCTGTGAGTGAGTGTGTAGCGCGAGCCGATGGAAAGATGGTGGAGCAGATTGTTCTGCCACATGACGGTACTGAAATTCAAGTGGGCATGGATTCCAGTGGTGAAGTGTATGGATGTCAAGTGGCGCGGCCCCGGGCAAAAGTACTAGTTTTCACGCAATCTGCTGAGAAGGAGACGAAGATGGTTGAATTGGAAGGCGAGTTCGAAACGGAGAGCCAGGGCCCAGGGGATCTTGAAGCAAGCAGGCACAAAATGTGTCGACGTTTCAGGGCATATTTTGGAATGTGCTTTGGAAGTTTAACCTCCGAAGTGACTGGAGAAAACCCGAGCGTGACTGTAGAAAACCCGAGCGTGACTGCAGAAAACCCGAGCGTGACAAGAGCCACCTGCGCGACTCTCTGTGAGAGGAAGGAGAATGTTGTTGTGGGATATGAAGACGGGACGTTGAGGCTGTGGAGTACGTCGGAGAGGAAAGTATTGAGAATTTTCCGCGGTCACAAGTCGAAAGTGGTTTGCGTTGCGATGAGTGGGGACGGAAGACGTGTGGTATCTGGATCGTGGGACGGGAGCGTGCGGGTGTGGGGCGTGGAGACGGGAGCACAAGTCGGGGAGGCGTTAGTTGGACACACGAGTTGGGTGGTTAGCGTTGCGATGAGTGGGGACGGAAGACGTGTGGTATCTGGATCGTGGGACAAGAGCGTGCGGGTGTGGGACGTGGAGACGGGAGCACAAGTCGGGGAGGCGTTAGTTGGACACACGGAAACAGTGCGTAGCGTTGCGATGAGTGGGGACGGAAGACGTGTGGTATCTGGATCATATGACAAGAGCGTGCGGGTGTGGGACGTGGAGACGGGAGCACAAGTCGGGGAGGCGTTAGTTGGACACACGGGTGAGGTGTTAAGCGTTGCGATGAGTGGGGACGGACGGAAGACGTGCGGTATCTGGATCGGATGACGGGAGCGTGCGGGTGTGGGACGTGGAGAGAGGGATCACACTTCATACCGGGAGGGAAGAGGATTGGGAAGAAATCAGGAGTCGGTTCCTGAAGACGGCAGACTTGGGTACTGCTTCTCGCGCAGGACGAACATCAAAAATATTTTCAAGGGGCGGAAGAAAAATATTTTCAAGGGGCGGAAGAATGGTGCAAAGGCGAGAGGATGGGTCTGAGGCTGTCTTGGCCCAGTTGGAGAGTGACGTACGAGACTTGCAGATAGACCACGATCACGGGGTCGCAGTTGCAGCGGCGGGCAATCTGGTTGCTATCATGAAAGCTAGTGGTGTAAGCTAGTGGTGTAAGTAAGTATCGAAGTGCGATGGCCGCTTGCCGCCCGTGACAGTAGTAGTGCGTTGAGGGTTTTTTGCTTTTGATTTATGAATGCGTGAGAAGCTCGCCTCACGGACGTTGCAATCCATGTATGTGTATGTATGAACTAGCAACCTGCTTCCGTTCATCGTGCGCTCTTGTGCTCAAAAGTTATAAAGGTATTCGTGAATGAACGGTGTGTTGAGAAGCGTTGCAGACCGGGTCAAAGCGGGGGCCAATCTCACTTCGAAGAGGCGATGGGTACACGTGCACAGGTTTCCACGTGTACAGGTTTCCAGGTTTCCACGTGTACAGGTCCACACGTGTGAGAAGACAAGTGGCAAACGAGGCCAACTTTTTCCCTCAATTTTACCATAAATTTCAACTTTACTAAACATTTGGGCCTCTCCCTTTACGGAGCGTCAGCGTCGTCACTCAGTCCAATTACAAACACCGTCCTTGCAAGGGGCATCGGTTACTGTGAGAGAAAAGCACTGGGCAGAAGGGAAAGTGTTCTGGCCGGCACAGGTAACACAAGCGGCCTCCAGTGACAGACCGACCGCGATAAGCTGTCTGATCACAGCCAGCAGCGAGACGGATAAGTGAGACGGATAAGTAGGAGCGAGAGTAGAGACGACGAAAGATGTTCTATGAGTTTGTCTAGACTGCGCCCCGCCGCCGCCACACTCTGCCAGCGGCGAGAACAGTGCGCCCCAGCTCCCCATCCCGCTGCTGCTGCAAGTCGGGTCGCGGCGGGGAAGCGTCCGCCACGCGACTAGAACGCGGCGGGGGCACGAGCGCTGTCCATACGTGCGGCGGCGACGGGCGCGCGCACGCGCAAGGGAGAGCGGGGGAAGGGGGAGGGAGGCGCAGCGCGTCGGGGTGAGGGCGCGCGCAACGGCGGCGGCGGCGCTTATGCGGACGCGCGCGCTTTGAAAGGGATGCGCGCATTGCTGCGCACGAGCGGGAAGCAGGGCGGCATGGTGCTTGCGCTGCGAGTCGCGCGTGGTTTGAACGGGAAGCGTTTGCGGGCGGAGCTGCAGCCATGCTACGTGCGGCTTAGAAGACGCACGACGGCGCGATTTGCGCTACCCCGGCGGCACGGGCCATCCGCCCGCACCTCAGCGACTGCGACCGGCCGCGCCCCGCGTGGGGCGCGGCGAAATAAGCACGTGGAGAGAGTGCGCAGTTACGCGCGGCGGACGGCGGACGGCGGACGGCAGCCCGGGTAAGCTAAAATGCGGCTTGAATATGCAGCAGTCGCGCAACAGGTGGCCGCGCGCCCGTTTTGATCGCGCGCCCCCGCCGGGCGGCCGTGCACCCGGCGCGCCGTCTTCTTGTCTGGCGGCCGAGAGGCTTGATGGGGGCGATGCCTTCCAGGCAGGCCGTCACTTTACTCGGCGGCGAAACGCACGGTAACGGGGCACGGTAACGGGGCCATGCTCCCCACCCGCAGCGACTCTCACTCCACGTTGAGGCTTGCAATACGTGGTCATTGCGGGCGAGGGAAGGAAGCTCATTTCTTCAGGCACAACATCAGTGTCGTCGGAATATGGCGGAAGCAAGCGACGCTCGCACTTGATCGACTACTCGGCGAGAGGCACAACTGTGCTGGGAGGGGATCATCGTTGCGGAATAATGTCGATTGAAATCCCCACCGGTGCAACCAAATCATCAAATTTTTGGTGTCGATCTAAAAATCGGAACCAATATCAAGAATTTGGTTCGGATAGTCTCTGTTTGATTACAGTACCCTTTACAATCCAGTTGTGCACGTTCTATTGGTCGACCGAAACGGCTTCCCACCAAAAAGTGCATCGATGCGGTATTTGCCTCGAGATTACCAGTGTCTCCCGCCGATCCAGAATGCTCACTACGGCGTGCATGCTCTTCCCCCTTCCATCCCTCCAGAACGTCGACGGCCCCGCCATCCCTGAGCGCGTCCTTCCCCGCCCGGCTCTTACACAACAACAACACTTCCTCGACTAACCAGGCGCGAATCTCCGCCATCTCCTCCCGTCCCACATCCTTTGACCTCCCCAAGCACATTGCGACCGCCGCCGTACCCCCACCAACACATCATGGCACTCGTCCGCCATCGCGCAGTTCCGCACCCAGCTCGCCCCCGCCAGCCTCTTCTCTGCCTCCCCCGCCTCCAGCAACCTCGGCAACCTCGTCAACAGCTGTCTCTCCGCCTGCCTTCCCTCGACCAACAGGACGTCTCTCCCCTCCTGGCTCGCGCACGCATTCGACAGCCGCAGCACATTCGGAATACTCGGTACCCTCTCCACGAGCACGAGTAGCGTGCCCCTCTCCCGAAACCCGTCCGCGCCCTCCGCTTCGTCCACGCCCGGCGCGAAGCGCGTCAGGTTGGACAGCAGCGCCGCGTGCAGCGCGACGACGTCCGCGTCCAGGACCACCTGCGCTGCGAGCCGCACCGCGTCCGCGTGCGTCAGAGCCGCCGGCTCCTCGTCCTCCGACAGGTTCACAAGCGCAGACAGTGCTAGAGCAGTGCGATTCGCTGCTCAGCAGCAGCAGCAGCCGCAGGAGAACGTCGCTCGCGGCTGTCGAGCCAATCATCCGCCGCAGCACCGCTGCCGCCGGCGCGTATGTTCTCTCCGGGATCGCGCTGCTCGCGGTCGCGTGGGGAGCGCGTGCTGTCCGTGAGCAGGGAGGACAGCGCCGGCAGTCTGTCTTTGTCCACGGTGGAGGTGAGAGGGAAGGAGTGCAGACAGAGTGGCGAGGGAGAAGGTCGCGGGATGGGTTTCGAGTGAGCGTGCGACTACGACTGAGGGTGCGATACGAGGGTGAGTACGAGTGTGAGTACAAGGATGCGATGGTGAGTACGAGGGGAATGTACTTCATTTGGTTCTCACCGGTGGGGCAGTTCTTTCCGAAGCATCAAACAGCCAAATAACGAAACAACCAAATTCTAGGGAGCCAATCAAATTACAGAAAAAGTGTGCCAAGTGTTGTTAATTGATGATTTGATTGCGTACCGGTGGGGATGCTCTAAAGACGCAGTGGCGAAAAAGGGAATAGTGAAACGTGTCCACATGGCTTCGTGGCGAGCTGGCCCGGACCGATGTCACACGTGTGTATGCAAGACATCACGACGCGTACAGTAGCACCCCCGTACAGCTGCTACTCTACTTCTCCTGGACGGTAGCGCCACGGCACAGTGGTACCCCTTCAAGGGTACCGTGAAGAAAGAGAAGGGGGGTGCGTGCGTGGGTTCTGTGGAGGGCTGTCGCTGCCATCGTAAAGATTGGGGGCGCGATACAATCTGATACGCTCACAGCATTCAGCACCCAGTACGGCAGCGGGGATAAGAAGGATGTGTTCTGCATGCAATGGAGTTATTTTTTGGTGATCGCAGTTGCTCCTTTGGAAATTGGATGGAAACAGTTCATGCAGCAACGCTGAATTGGCGGTTTCTTCATTCGGCTGAATTTACAAGTACCTCGCACAACAGGTGTCACGACTGCCCCTGTGCTTCCACGAAACAATCCACTACGCCATTACCTTGCCGATCATTTCAAGGCTGAAGATGGAGTCATCAATACAAGAGTTTTAAATATAAACATGTTTTTATTTATGACCTGAGATGACACCCCATTCATAAGACTACACTACTACTTTCTCGTTTGCGAGAAATCGCTTTCCTCCAGCATTTTTTTTGCTTCCACCGAATGTGCCTGCTAACATTTTGCTGGGTCCCTGTCGTATACGAGCAGTGGTTGCACTTGTAGCTTACATCCACTTCATGGACTTCTTGGATATGCGTCCGAAGAATTGTTCTTCGGCTAAACGTTTCCCCACAAGTTGGGCATTTGAACGTCATGTCTTCCTCGTGATATTCTCGAATATGTCTAACAAAGTTGTTCTTGTGATTGAAACTTGACGGACACTGTGTGCAAGTGTATGGCTTTTCTTCTTCTTCTCAATCACTCTTCTGCTCTCTGTATGATGCGATCCCGATGCCTGCCCCGAACGATTTTTAGTCGACCTGTGACTTTCCATTCTAGATCTTGGGATAGCGTCAACGTTATCCACCTGTGAAGACCTTGAGCAGAAGGGAGTCGTGATTTGGTGAAATTTTAAATCAACTTGAGACCTAAACCGAGTCCTGCATTGAGGACATTTGACATCTCCCCGTCGAGAACCTGATGATCTATCGGACTCTCTTTCAGATCTATGTGATGAAGACCTGCTGGAATCTCTTCCAGAGGTATGTGAGTGTTGTTGCCCGTGCCTGCTGTACACGTGTACTGGACCCTCGGCGACTTATATGTAGCCCCCCAACTCACCTACAATAAAACCGACCAGACCTCTTCTATCTCTAGAGACGCGTCTCCTTTCTCCCGGACGAACCGGTACTCGACCGTGAGGTGCTACAGTGTGAGCTCTGGCTACGGGAATTAGTGTACCTTTCCATAGTGATTTAAGTTGGTTTTAAGTTTGTATGCTTCCTTGAAAGTCTATTGAAAGTCAAATGATTGAATGAGTGTGTTGTGACGGACCGTACTCATCACGATGCTCCTGATGTATATACAGTTGAGGAAGGGGGCGGCTTTGTTGTAAGTACGATGCAGATGTTCCCAAGTGACGCTCGTTACCATTCTTGGCCATAGCCATGTCAACAGACGGGCGCAGCCGTTTCCAAAAAAATCGAAAAGGGCCGCATATTGCCATCTCCCTTTTTCGGAACGGACTGGTGCTCCCCGAAGAGCTGTGAAGTGTTTCTAAGGGGTCGCCTTGCACGTGCGTACCTTGTGGTTAAAGTTCAAGATCATCCCATTTACAAAGGTTATGAAAACTATATTCTCAAAGTTCGTTCTTCGATGTGTACAATGGCAGTGTTCTCTTTACTGCTTGGCCATAACGTCGAGTACGTTCCATTGCAGCGTTTGCGTGTTTTGCAGCCTTGAAATGATGTCATTATTTCCAATGACCGCCTCTGAAATTGAGTTTGCTTCTCGAATGTACATTTCGTGGCGAGCTATTGGTGGAAAGGCCATAGACATGCTATAGACTGTGTTTGCAGTACCTTGAGTGTTGTCTCATTGGCATTTCGCAGCAACGCTATAGTACCAAATTTACAGGACAGCTGTACTCGTTCTGTGATAGTGGCACGAGAGGACAAACG